GGGGGGGTATACTAAAAGTCCCGATTCATCTCAAAATGATGTATTTTGAGATGTAGGCATTTTTGGATTCTTCAGTTTCTCTTACAACTATATCATCGCATAAGAACCCACTAAAGCCTTATGTTTTGACATACCTGGCATATTAGTCAACACCATTTCGTCATAAAGTCAATATTTTATCTTTCATTATCGCCCATGTTCTCCAAAATGCAGTTTTTCTATATTATAGGCCTACTTTTTAAAAAAACTCAATTTTTTATCCAATCTTCATAAAAATTTTCACAGAATGAAGAGAAGGTGTAACACAAAAATTTTGTCAGTAGAATGTTCGATATATGGAATAGATTGTGTTGCTCGTGTCTCATGGAGTGTAGATCTTCACGGCTTTTTTTTTTTTTTTGCAAACTTGAATACTACTTCAAGAAAAAAATTCATTCACATTTTTCAATTCATTTCGAAAAAAAAAAAATGAACACACAGATTTATAGATCTATTGTTTGCTACCATGCAGGCAAAATAACCTATTTTCGAGAAAAATAAGTGATGTATTCATTGCGTAAGACATGTCAACAGAACCAATAAGACCACGTACCGTCTCCATGGGAACGAAACTTTTTACTCAAATTTGATTGCGGATTTTTAGACTCCTCACTACGCTTGTTATAGACTTTTTTCATATCAAATGTGCACATAAGAAATACAAATGCCACATAGCTATAGTGCGGTCAAAAATTCGAGGTGCGACATTATTTTTAAATATCTCTTCAACTATCGAACCTCCAATTTTTGCACAGTGACTTGTATCAATGCGTCTAAACAGATCAACGTTTTTGTAAATACCTGCAAGCTGTATTCTAGAACATTCCTTAATAAATACTAATTATTAAAAAATACAAGTGGGTGGTTTCTACTGATTTTTAAATGTTTACAGCTGGGGCAATAGCTTTTAACAGCAAGTCCGTCAGGTTTTTCTAATCGGGACATTATGCTTATTGAACAAATGTTTTTGAGAACCATTAGTACAAAAATGTGTTCACTATAACAATAATTTCTTGTAACAAGTTTTGCAAGTAAAAATTGTCTTTGATGAGCTGTGACGTAGGCCATATGCGTAATCAAAATGTGTGTGAAAAGCGGGAAGTGCTGTGAACAATACCATTTTACGCGCGACAGAGATTTCAAGTATTTCATATAATTTTATGAAGAACATTTTTTAAATCTGGCCTCAATTGTTCTAGAAAAATATGATTTAGTTAAGACAAATTGATACAAACTGCTATGCAAAGTATGGATGACACCGATTCACCTGTTAAAGAGATATTTGAGGATAAGTTGCACCACGAATTTTGACCGCACTATAGGCCTAGATCTAGATCTAGTTCAAA